GACCAGAGCAGTCGTGCCAGGCCGCTTGCCGGCTTGGAAACAGGATCCAGACCCTCAGCTGGGGACTTCGGCTGTGGGGTTTTTATATCAGCTTGTGGAGCTATCCTAAAATGTCCTCCCTTCCCGGCTCGCGGTTAATGAGGTGCTGCAGGAAACGTTCTCAGGGTGTAGATTTGAGCAGAGCTACTCTCAGGAGTAGGAGTAAAAGCTCTCCTTTTTCCTTTAGTTCTTAATTTATAGGAAAAAAGAATTTTACACAGATATTTATACCTGGATGCTGCTCCAAAACAGAGTATTCAGAAAAGGTCTTCTGCCAGCTCGGGGCCAAGCTATCACTTCTGAAACTGGATCCAAGAACCTGAAGTTTCTAAAGGTTTCCTGAAGGCTTAAGAAATGCAGAATCCATGCCCCTAGCATTTTGCATTTCCATGTGTGTCATGCCAGTTGCCCACCTTCACCTTCCTCTCGGGTAGCAGGGCTCAAGCAGAGAGATGGCTCAAGCAGAGAGATGCCTCAACCAGGCTTTCGTTGCCTTCATATTTTCCCATCATCTTTCTTTGGCAGGAGCAAATGTGAACATAAAAACAAACAACCAAGATGAGGAGACTCCTCTGCACATCGTTGCACGCTTGGGTATCCCGGAGCTCGTGGCCTTTTACATGGAACAAGGAGCGCACGTTGATGCTCTCAATGCCTACATGGAGACTCCCCTGGCCTGTGCAGCCTATTGGGCCCTGCACTATAAGGATCAGATATACAGCCCGGATCACCACCTTGTCTGTCGGATGCTCTTAGACTATAAAGCTGAAGTGAATGCTCGTGATGAGGATTTCAAATCACCGCTCCACAAAGCTGCCTGGAACTGTGACCACGTCCTGCTGCATATGCTGCTGGAAGCAGGAGCAGAAGCAAACATCATGGATGTCAACGGCTGTGCACCCCTACAGTATATCATAAAAGTGACATCTGTGCGGCCAGCTGCCCAGCCTGATATCTGCTATCAGCTGCTACTGAATCATGGAGCAGCTAGGATATATCCGCTGCAATTCCACAAGGTTAAGGATGGCTTTCTACAGCAGCAATATGGAGAGAGGTGATATCTTGAACAGGAATGGGATGAGAGATCCAAACTTCAGGGTTTGGTGGTATCTGAATTTGCTCAAGTCTTACAAACTACGGGCCCAGAATGCCCAAAACGTGACCTGACCTGCTGTGAGAGTGGTATCATTTAAATGAAGTGAAATTACAGCTGTTAATGCCAGAAACCAGACCCAGATCCCATTTTTGGTCTTACCCAACCTGAAACCCCGAACTGTAAATGCTGGTTCATGCCTAGCTTTTCAGAGCTTTCACTTTCTTATTTCAGAAAACCTACATGCCTTTGTCAAACCTGGCTTCATACAGGCTTAACTGGGTTATATGAAATGCATATTTCATGACCTCTACCAAAGATTGGAGATCAGAGTAGTTGATTCAGTTTGTCATTTCAGACCTTTAAAAATCTATGCAAATCTATTCCAAATGAAATGGATCTCAGTAAAGCTTTGGCTTATTCCCAGGAAATGTGAGAAATTAAGTGGAAATGCTGGGCCTGGGCTCATAGTTGATGAAAAAAAAAATAGAAAAAGAATTGCAGGATCCTTCCCAAAGAATTTCTAAAGGTCTGCAAAGCCCAAGGCACTGACAGAATTAGCTGTCAGACTTCTTATATCAGGCAACTAAGTAAGCTTGCTGTGGTCAGGACTTACTGTCTCTTCTCCAGTGCCCTGAGCAACATTTTGCAGCTCCTTCACCGTATATGAAAAGTTTTAACAAGGCAAGCAACCAGAAGCCTTTGAATAAAATACCAAATTTTTGGTTGTGCCCTCCTCAGCCCAGGATGAGCTGGCCCTGTCTATAACAGAACAATACTTAGTCTCCTAAAGCATGTTTGAGAGCCAGATCTGGGGTCTCCCCTTCCTGCCTCTGCCTTTCTCCTGTTGCATGGAGTGGGTCTCCCTTCCAAACCATCATTTCCCATCTGTAAAATATGTAGGATGATATTTATCCCAGAGGGATTTTCTGCAGTTTTGTTTGTGAAACCTTGTCTACTGAGTGGAACAAAATTGTGCATCATACAGTGTGAATGCAAAGTGTTATTCCATGCGTGTGAGTGACAGTAGACTTTGTTTTTTCCTACTGAGCAGTTACTGGGCAGAGCAGTTGTTTCAGAGGCCTCATGTGGCTTGGAAGCCATACTTCTGAGCTGTGTTAATTCCCAGTGTCCTTGTTTCTGGGCTAAACCATGACACCCAGTCTTCCTTTAAATTTTCCTGTAACTGCATTTTTGATTCATATGATGGGATTTTTGCTGTTCCTGTGCTGCATGACTTGGAGCAGGGACTTTGTGCATGGCTTTGCCTGGTGTTGAGTTACTCAACTTAGCTATGAGCAAGTTATCTTCTGATTCAGGTGATAAAGCTACCCCCATCAGCTAGCTGCTGGAGATCTAAGCCAGTATTTCTGCATGGTGTTGCACTGGGGTGTGCACAGCTCTACCGGGGGCTAGCCTGGGGTTTCTTGCTGCACTTGCACTGAGCAGTGTAGATTTTTGTCTTTTGCAGCTCCAACCTTATCCTATCAGGATTCTTTGGCTGTGATCTTAGTATGCCATTGCACAGTGCCAACCATCCAGGCTAGCCCCAGCTTTTTGGTGATCCTCATGGTCTCTATGCATCCTGCCTGCAGGTGCTACAAGCCTGTCATTCCCACCCCAGAGCTGTGGAGATTGTCGTCAATACCTACGAACACATCAAATCAACAACAAAGTGGAAAGCAGCCATACCTGATGATGTCTTTGAGGTAAGCTCTTAATGAGTTGCAATTGAGTAAAATCCAGGCTCATTATTTGCATTCCCTGTATCTGGTCAAAGAAAAGTGAGAATGCTTTTGAAAGAGAAGAACATCTTTGAGGATTCGGGACTTCCCCATTTAATGTCTTGCACTTAACAAAAGCATATCACTCATGGTTAAAAGATATTTTTGTGAAATTGTCATTGCAACATTATCCTTTGGAGCACCCCGTCAGGGGTGCTGCAGGATCTCAGCTGTCCCTGCACTCAACAAGTGCAAAGATTCTGGCTCTGATTGGTGTTTCTTCAGATGTATCAATACATATATATATTTTTTTTTAAGTCAGCAAATGTTTTAAAATGCTACATGTGAATGACTATATGTCTTTATGTTCTGTTGCACGGATTGGGTTTCTGTGAGCAGAACTGGTTAGCTGCAAATACAGGGGAGAATTGAAATGAAAAATAAGAGATCAAAGAGGAAAAGATGTTGTCAAAAGACAAAATTGTGGGACAAACTACACGCTTTGACATAATTATCCCTTTACTTCAGAAATCTGCATAGTCCCAATATTCCAGATTAAAACTAGTTTTTTAGTAGTACTGAGTTTTTTCAAAATTTTCAAGTCAGTGCTGAGGTTAAGTGCACCCATATGCGCTATGCATTATCAGTGGTGTTTAGGGAACCCCATCTGTATTATAATGCGGAGTTATACAGCCAGAGGAACTGTGAGACTAACAGTTTTTTCAGGTCAGCTTTGTTCAGAAAAAAATTGAAAGAAACTATTTTGGGTGAACACAAAATTAAATGTTAAAGGTCCTTTTTCACCTAAACATTATAACAACAACAACAACAGTAATAATAATTGCTGAGCTACAAGTGAGATTAGAAAGGAAATAACTAATTCTTTTTCTCCAAACAAAAATTTTAATCTGAAATATTGAAACATTCTTATTTGGAAAAGTGTACAGCTGGTCTATTTCTTTGTTGAGACTGTAATTTTTGTTGTCAAAGCCATTTGCAAAATTTGACATGGAATTGAAGAAAAAAATTTTGTTGACACAAATCTCTACTTTTCAGTACATAAAGTGTACATGAAAAAAGTGTATCCAGATCTATGAAGTAGCAAGAATATAAAGTAAGGTCAAGTCACACATAGTCACACGTGCTTACCATTTGCTTCTTTTATTTCAACATCATTTGTAAGCATCTGCACTTTTCCTCTCGTGGGGCTGTGATTTTATTTTTTCTAAAAGGCCAGGGGCGTGCTGAGTTAAGACCAAAGGTCCTTTGCTATTCACAGCCCCAGCGAACTCGTGGGTAATGCCGGCATTACGCGGCCTTGCTGCCCCCCAGTGAGGTTTAGGGGATTAACTCATCCACGTGCACTGACCCTGAGCTGGCTGCAGCATCTGTTCAGATCAGGACTAACACCACAGAGGAACCCCCACCTCAGACTGATGGATATAAGACATACCAAGTGTAAAGATTTCATCATGGTCTTTAACTTAACACTAAATATTTGAGGCAAGGATAAGAATTTTGTGCAGGTATTTGTCTAAACCGAGTCCCTGGTGCTGGGTGTGCTTCCAAGGACAAGATGGCTCTCCATGCTTTTTACCTTGTTCTGCCAAGGGCTGCATGTGGGCAGGGGAAAGGGAGGGAAGGAAAACAGCCTTATTGCCCTAAAACACACTTGTGTTTTTTTTACAGCAGCACCAGGATTTCTACAACTCTTTGTTCACTGTGTGCAGCAATTCACCACGGTCACTCATGCATCTATGCAGATGTACTATTCGGGCAATATTGTCAGAAAGGTGCCACCGAGGAGTGCCCTTGCTCTCCATCCCCCTGTCCATGAAGAAGTACTTGCTGCTGGAACCAGAAGGGATTATCTACTGAACTGCAGCAGCATCTCCCTTCCCAGATCTGCACGCCTCTGTGGGGTGCTGGAGATCCAGGGACAACCTTTGCGCAGCCCTTTGCTTTTGTACAGTCGCAGGCCAGCCTCAAGCTGGGCTGGGATTTACCGACTCAAATTGCAGCTGCAGGCTGTGGGTCACACTGGGGAAGGCAGAGCTGGAAAGGCCCCCTCGCTCCCCCCAAACAAAAACAGGGGTGCATACTTCCGTGCCTTGTTCAGCCTAGCTTAAACAGTGCTGCTGCTGCCTTTGGTATTTATTCTGCTGCCTGCTAGATAGCATTAGATTAAATCTGGACAACCTTTGATACTGTTTTACTGCAATTTTCTTCAGCTGTCATTCTGGGAGTAAAAGAAAGGATACCATCAAAAAAATAGAACATTTATTAGCGGCACAGAAATGCTTTCCCAGAAGGAAATGGGCAAACTGCTTTGAATCATGACCACAGACAAGTTTTCAGTAGTTTCCATATTTTCCTGTGGATTGACTGGCAATTCAGTGTTAGTTCACTATTCACCCTCTGTATCTTATAAAGCTTTGTCATAATAATATCCTTCTTAATTGTAAGATTTTTTTTCATTATCAATCACAATGTTGAAATCTGCAGCACTGAAATTTCTGTACATTGCTATTCATGCCCAGGTAGCTTTTAGCAGATGCTGCCTCTGTTTCTGCTCTCAGTATGACTGATGATAATTTCATGTTCTGGTGTTGAGAAATGTGGGTAGCCCACATTTTGTGGGTAGCCCCTGCAACCTGGGCTTATACCCAGCCATATATCCCTCAGGAAGGTGTTGGATGGGATCTGGGAAGAATACAAGCCTTTCTTGCCATTGACTATAAAAAGACTCTAGCCTGTTAACATGGACTACACACCTCATTTTTTGGCAGCTAAACACAGGTGAGAGCAATGCCACCTTAACTGAAAGGTGTTTCCAAGATGCAGATGTGTTGGCTGAATGTCCCCCTGATTTGCAGGCCCTCTGCTTTTGGACCTGCCAGTGCTGGTTTCCCTGCTTGCAGGAAAATTTTACTCCTGATCAAGCTGCTGTCTACAGTCCAGAAGGATGAAATGCAGGGCAGAGGCAGTTCACACACCAAGTATACTACAGCAAGGGCAAGTGTGTGATCTGACCTACAGAAAAAAACCATTTTTCTTCCCTTTTTTAGTTTGATGCAATCCATCTGGGCTGTTACACTTTTTTTAGACCCTGACAACTCCAGGCTTTGTTAAAAGGGAGGTGAGCTGTGCCCACCACTGGGAGCAAGACAGTCCTGACTTCTCATTGCATCTCTGACTGTGGAGCTGTCAGTCCTTATCATTATTATTATCTCTTTTCAAGAGAGCCCACAGCACGTTACGCGCTTCCCAGCGGGACAGGAGCGGCAAAGCTGTTCAGTGTCTCTGTGCCTTGCGAAGTGGCAACAACAGCACTTGAAGAAATGTGCAGATTATTTAGTGTGATAAATCACTTTGCTTTCTTTTCATCTCAGTTTTCATGAATCAAAGCCTGTACACTGTGTTAGGAGATAATCCAATTCATAGGTCTGTTTATGTTTAGCTAGACAGCGAAGTCGATTGCTATTTAACAGTTTCCAGTTCCAATGGAGAAGTTCAAAGACAACACAGACCATGAGAAAATGCTTTCTCATATGAATGAAGTTGTACTTTACTAAACTGATGAAAGATTTCTACAGAGTTGCAGAGGTATCTCTGTCAGAGACACCACAGTGGTTTACAGGGGAGAACGATCGGGATCTGGAGCAGGCTGTCTACAGAAAAACCCACTTGAGGCATGGTCAATAGGATCCACTGAATTCTGTACTGAGGGAAACCAGTGAATTTGGAAGAACGAAAGAAAATTAGGTGATCTAAAACCACTGCTTTTTTAGTATGTGTATCTATGGAAGTCAGGCATGAAGAAGAGTATTTGCAAACTGGTTAAGGCAAGAAGATGTTTTTTGCTTCCTGAACAGTCTGACAATGTGGCAAGCTGGGTAGTCCAGAAGAAACAGATGGAGGTAGCTGATTTATCGGGAATGCATCCCTGCACTGGCTGCTTCTGGAAGCAAAATTCTGCATCTGGAAGAGGGAGGTTTAAGGCAGAACAATAGCAGCATTTTTTGACCTGTCATAGTCAGGACTCTCTTGCTGAGAAAGAAGAAAAAAGGCTGTCACCAGTGTTCCTAAATTCCCTCTGATCCTCCCCCTCTACAGTGAACATGCTTAATTTTTATTCTGTGGGCACCCAGCCTCACTTCCAAGCTTTGTACCAAGCAGGTGCCAGATTATAGCCATTGTGGTATCTGACAGGGAGCACAGTGGGATCAGGCTGATTATAGTCATAGGAATTTGCAAGCTGTTAAAAACACTGGAGAACATCCCTATCAAAGAAAAAAGACCTGATTGATGCACTTTAATTGCTTCTGTTGTTGGAGATAGAAAGACCAACAGTAAGCAAACCTTATTATTTGTTACCTTTTAGCATTTCTTTCTTTTTTTCTCTTACTGTACTCTGTTCCCAGGCACTGGATGGAGTTGCTCATGTGAGGCATGGGGGTACCCGATAATAAGCTCATAATTTATTAAATTTATGGGATGCACAGTCTTATTATTCTGACTCAGTGTGGATGCCTTGAAATTTCATACTGTCATATAACTCCTGATCATGCTTTTATATTTTCAAAGCTGCAATAGATTGTATGGCTGCAGGTGGAAATAATGAGAGACCAAGCTGTCACCCCTACACTGCAAGTCTGAACCTAGGCATGACCTAAAATGACAGAAAATGGTTTTCAGGGTTGTTTTGTGTCTTCTGTGAAATGAGTTGCTTTTTGCCATTTGGCTTCTTAGATGTAGCCATATTTGAGACATTTTCACTGCATTTCACAGCCTACTAGAATATTTAAAGCACAGATGGGCACAAAGAATGAACTATCCTTTCCTGTTGGCAGCCCTTTCCCACAGCAATAAGATTACATGTTTTGGTCCTTGTGCTTTTTAAGATGTGTATATGAAGGGATGTTCTTAAGCGACATGCATTGTTGACAAAAGTTATTCCATCTATGAACATAGAGACACTCTGCGTGTTTTTGTGGGCCAGTGCAGAGCCATAATTCAGCTATTCAGCTAACTGAATTCCAGTTCATGGAAATATGGACATCCTTTTTGCAAAGTGATCTTGCAATAATTTTAAACCTAGCCCCTGATGTCTGATTGGATCCAGCTTGACTCAGAACTCCACTGATTTCTCCATGCAGAGCATGTAGGTGACACTGAAGTCAGAGTCAGTCTAACAGTGTTCAGGAATGTATTTTCCTTCAACACCTTTAAACATCTATTCATATTTGGTCAGCCTTTAGAAACAAGCACAATGAGTCCAAAACAACCTGTCTGGGTCAGCTCTCCAACACTGCTGCTTGTCCTGCCAGCCTAGTGCCAAGAAGAGGAACCAGAGTGTGCAAAGCAGAAACCTGGGACACTGGAGAATGAAGCAGTGAATCTTGACCAGTTCCTGCTCAGTCTTCAGTCAACATGTCCTTAAAACCTTCACCGTTCACCCTTGAGACAGGCTAGTTTTCCAGTGCTGCTGGTAGCAGGTGGCCAAGGATATGTTCTCAGCTGTGTTCCACTGTGTGCAGTGGTATCAAGACCACATGGGTTGCACAAGGGTTATGGATGTGATAAGTAGGTCTTTTCTCTACAAAGGTGGCTTTGGATGACTATTGACAACTGTCTGCATACCTATCGGTCTTAGAGCGTGATACATGTTTTGCTAATATGCTCATTACTGGTACTTTAAGACAATACTCATAAGTCAATGTCACCAACCCCTACTCCAAAACCAAGCTACCTGATGAGAGCCTATTGGTTGGATGAATGGCAGCAATGAGGACCTTCAGCACAAGGGGTGCTGGTTTGACATACCTCGCTCCTCTCATAATGAACTGTACTAAGAAGAGTTAGCGTCATAAAGGCTCAAAGCCAAAACTATAAACACAGGGTCTTGGGGCCACCTGGCCCAGGCAGCCAGGATCTCCATGTCTTTCTGCCCTTAGCATTTGAAAAGCTGGCAGGGGAAGGGAACGGGTTGCCTGTGCCCCTTTTCATGCTCTTACATGGCATTGTGATTAGGGCAGTGTGGAGGATGATGAGGCTGTCTGCATCATCTTGAAAGATTTTGGATCAAAGCTCCTGACTACATGAAAGCATAATGCTGTTGAAATGCTTGTTTTGATTCTGGCAGTCCTGCATGGGTCTGTGTGTGCATCGGCATGTGTGAGGAGACTTGCACAGAGATTCTAGTCAAAATCTTTGCTCCAGTTTCAATCAGAGTTTTTTGACCCAAATCAGGGTATCATCAGAGCTGAAACCCATACATTCCCATAAGTGTTTTGGCACCAACGAAATTTTGCTTACTCAAAACCACTTACCATCTTGAAAGACCATTTCTCTTCTTTCTGTGAGGCAATACCTTACAGCCTATACACCAGTTGTGTGTATCGTTAACTGCTGTGATCATGAATTTATATGGCTCCTAGACTGAGCAAGACTGATGGCTATTTTTGTAAAATTTCAGAAAGACAAATATTAGGGGGTGGGGGAAGAGGTCTGGTCTGCCATGAAGGCTGTCAGCTTTACTTTTAGATGTAAGCGCTGCTGGACCAATTAAAATGATCACGGAGGCTCACCTCATTTGTATTTGAGGAATGTCCTTTGAAAATACGCTAATGCTTTTGGCAGCACATTTTTCCCATGGGACAAGTACCTTTAAATTAGACATACAAGAGTTCAGTCTTCAAGATTGGAAGAAAGAATGAAAGAGTCTGGGGTGGCCTGTTAATTTATATTAATAAATATACCTTTATTAAACTCTTAAGAAGCCAAAGAGGCATGCCAGGTTTTTAGTGTGCTGGAAGATTTGCAGGGCTCTTGAAGGGCTGCTGCTGCTTTTCTGAAATGCTACAAGATATAGATGG